CAATCCGACTTAAGGACATAATGCCAAAATGGCTGCCACAAGTAAATGTACAATAGGGTACAATAGTGAGTGAATATGGTTTTACGCCGCTTTTAGCAATATTCCAGCAATATCACGGCGGGGGACACCAGAAATGGGCTTCACACATTGTACCCATGTCGGGAATCGAACCCGGGTCTTCGGCGTGACGAGCGAACGCTTTAACCGTACAGTGTAGAAATGGCTGAAATGAAATTGCATCACAACGCTTTGCACACCATTGTGACGTCATTTGCTACCATTCTCTCTATATTTAACGCCGTGTTGTTTGGCCTGTTGGCCTCTCGTCCCTTTCTCCATTCCACAAGGGTTTGGTTACTAACAGCGAAGAGTCACTTGATGTATTTACAGACGTTATCCAAGTGGAATCTTCTGCAATTTTAATCAGTTGTTTACATAAATAAATCAGCCTATTCTAAGAAGCTGTCAACAACTGTTCCATTCAGTCTGATTAATTAAAATTAATTATGGCTGGTAGACGCGCTACATTTGAAGTATGGGCTGTCAGATGTCTCAATAATTTCCCAGTGTTAAGTACATACTAATGACACTAGTTTTCGTGTTATAGTCATTAATAATTACTACTGCATTTGCTTCAAAGACTTTTCTGGCAATGTGTGTTCCTTGAAGGTCAAATCAGATTGAACAAAAATACACAACCTCCTCGACGAGCTTTACCAGTGAACAGCTGAGACAACTGCCATAACCATACACAGGGTTTTACATCTATCCCCATGGGAAACCTGGCTTGGAGCATGTATTGATTACTATTTTTCAACATGCAGGCAAATCCTGGCATCTCTCAAAACGCCCTGCCAGATGTGTGTTGCTGCAGATGCAACACGATCTGTTAACTCATCCTTACTGCTTGTATTGAACTAGCAATTTATTCAACCAAGAAAATCATGAATGTCAGGGGCGAACTACTAAGCATTTGGTGTTTGGGGCATAGGTGCTGTGGCATTTGGGACTACTTGTGTTGACTGTGCCTCATCTCTGTTTGCCCCGTGAACTGGATAGTTAAATATACAAACAGGCATGGCAGGTCGAACAAAGGGTGCGCTAAGTTTTATAAAACGTTCTTTTCAACTTGTTAAACACACACAGTGGCTCCTTATAATTATCGCATGAGTTGTGATCTAAACTGATCAAGTGAACAACTAAATCACATTTTTCTGAGCTTTTTTTTCATCTATTCTCCGATATATTTCTGAACATGTGATATGGCTTGATGTGTTATGGCTTACAGTAAACTACGGTTATAACGAACTAAAAGGGACCACACATTTTAGCTCGTTATAACTTAGTTTGTTATAAGCACATATTCAGCATATATATACATATAATGGCCTGGACAAAAAGTACAGTTTGTTATATCAACAAGTTCGTAATAAGTGTGTTCGTTATAAACGTACGTTACTGTAGTTTTTAATTGTTAATAGCCCTAAAGAACACCACTGAGCAGGACACATCTACCCTTTTCATGACGCCTGGTGTCTTCGCTGATTTTCAATGATCCGTTCATAAAATAGTCATAAAGTTGTAACTGAAATCTATTTCCACAGAAAATCGACACGGATCATTCCCTGGCGTTAGCGTTTTGAATGTATACAAAATGTCCACTTAGGGTGTGTACGGTCCCACTGCTGTCTTCTATATGTCTATGTTTGAGGGAGCGAAATTACTTTCCAGAGTCACTTCAACATTAGTACAGTCTGACCTTTCCTGAAAAAAAGTATCAAAACATCACCTGTATAATAGTTTACTTTGAAAGGAGTTTTTGACCATCTCGTGGAAGGTCAGACCTACACGTACTTAGGGATGCAGGTAAGAGATACACTCCAGAATGCCCATATCAAAGACAAACGTCGGGCAGAATACAAATGTAGACTTAGGAAGATGTGTAGTTCAGAGCTGAACGCTCGCAATAAAGTCAAAGCCACACATACTCACGCTGCACCCGTCCGTATCGTGTATTGACACCCTCACACGAAGAATCATGTCAGACCATAGGTCCAACCACCCTCGCTCTTCCCTCAATCACTTACCTTTAACAAAAACAAGTAGAGATTGCTCCAGTGCATCAAATGTTCTTCGCCAGATAATGTCATATGCAGAGGAAGGAAGTATAAGCAATGAGAAGAGAGGACTGGCGCAAAGTTTAAATTGATTGTTGATAATGCAGTTATCTTTGAATAGCACAATAAAAGAAACAGTGTCTTCAATTGGTCAGCACAAGGAGAACCAAGGCAAGTATACGATAAGTTGCAATAGCAGTGTGAAGGGAGAAAGATTGAATGCGCTTGACCTGAATTCCTCCCTGGAACCTTTCTTGCTGACTGGCGTCTGGATAACATACGATACCTTGCAAAAGTAGTGCGCAATAGAGCTATTCGGGGTAGGGAGATAATCACTCACTCACAGTGATACCGCTTCAATAAGATACGATGTACTGCAATGCAAGGTCAGTGCGTGATATAGGTCCATACTTCGCCTGTAGCTAAGGAGATAATCACTTAATGCGCGATACATATAGTTTATTCTTACAAAACAGACCGGTTAACTTAAGCGAAAGGAGACATATTTCCCCTAAATGTGTTTAGCTCTCCTAAAAACAAAATGAACAAACTGCACGTATTATCTACATTGCGAGTGACAGAATGTGACAGGCGTTTGGTTAATCCATGTCCAGATTAAGTCACTCTCATTTCATTTTAAAAAACCCAAATGTTTTAGAGAAACCAAAATGGCGCCCTCCTTCAGTCAAAACAACTCTTATACTTCCCCTCCTTCAGGGCGCGGAAGAACAATGGGAGGACGTGTCACCACCCACTCGAAACCGTCAATGCATGATTCTTTTTAGAACAAACACGGTATCTTAATGATGGCCTGGCTCGATCATTTTATTACCTTCGTCGCCATGCTTGTGGTTTTGTCACAGAGGTCCATCCATGGAACGACCCGGAATATGTAGAGGGCGTCATGGAAATTGATAAATACAAAATTCTTTGGAATAGGCCCGTATATAGCTTAAGCCCTATCCAGGCCAACATACTTGGATACCTTTTTCATAAATCCAACGAAATCATATATATATATTATTAAATTCCCTGTCCCTTTTGATACAAATGTTATTGTCACGATTCAGGAAAAACGAGGCAAAATTATATGCACACCTCACTTTCGAAATGTCACGCCTGCATCCCAAGTACCCAGTTGTCCAAATCTTCATTATTCTGTTTGCTTTAGGTTGGGTACCTCCCAATCTGTGCTCGCTTTTCATTCTCAGCTCCCTGAGGAGTATATAACCCAAGCCGCCTTGTGAAACCCTTGAATGTTAACAGTCACATTTATTCTATATCAACAGCTGCTAGAATTACTGGTTACATGTTACATTTCCAGACTCGGCTGGCTGAAAGTCCAGCTGAGTCGTTTTGGGATTTGGAAGCACAGTAACGCCATATGCATGTATTGTTTTACATAGTCACTCGCTGGCGCCTGCTCGGAGAAACCTTGTCCAATGTCCAGATGTTATCTAGATCGACTGGGTCGGGCATCTTGTGAGACAGGTAAGCTATTGACTGTAACAGTACATTAACACTATTTCATGTTATCACTCATTGGAATCATTTGGCTTGGACTGGAGTGAGGAAGCATAATGAGAAAGTGTGTCTGGCCGCAGAGGTTGGTGGTTCGACCCTGGGTCGCGTCCTACTGAAGGACGTCAAAGCGGGGACCTTTAATTACTCTTTAATTACATGTATCGGATGTGATTGGTGGGTTAAAATCTAAGATCCTGATAATGACTGATTTGTTAAGTAAAATCTATATCGCTTTCGTTGTTATTTAATGTTACAGAGTTTCAAGGCTGTGCGGCACCACCTTCTGTTTCGAATGCTGAGGTGCATTATGACGGAGTGTACGAAGGAGCAGTGGCAGAATACACTTGCAAGGACAACTTCATGATGTGCACTGCTAGACACAGCAGAGTTTGCCAGTTGACAGGAATATGGAACGGTCCTGTCGGCCCGTGCGCACAGTACAGTTGGGACAACCCAGTAAGCTTGTTATGTGGTACAATGAACGATGCGTTTAGTGTAACGTTGCGTCCAAGATTATTTCACTTTTACAGGGAGGTTCATGCACGTGTGTGTGTGTGTGTGTGTGTGTCTGTGTGTGTGTGTGTGTGTGTGTGTGCGCACTGGTCCGGACTGATGCCGATTTATAGTGCTAGCACTCTGAGATACAATGGCGCAGTTTAACATGAATACCCCACTTAGACACAGTATACTGACTCCGAGCCGATCAGCCCTTGGCTTAGCTCCATAATGCCTCGCGCTAGGCAGGGCAACATCATGTACCGTCTGCACTTGTGTGAAGTATATAGCTGTAACTGTGTAAGAGAGGGAAGGAATAGTATGTGGGAATTAATGTGTAACGAGTATTCGATTCGACATCCATCGCACAAAGGCAGGTGTCAGCAACAACAATGACTTTCGTACAACAAAACACATATCAGAAGCGGCATGCAGTTGCTTTTGGCAATACACATGTGTGCGCAACTGTTCCATAAACAGCATATAAGAGCATGAAATTATTCGTATGCTGCCGAAACAGAGACAGTTATGGTACAACTAATACGTCCTTGCCATACAAGTATTTTTTTTATAATCCGCAAGTTAAAGTGGATAGTTTGATGCCATAAATAAGCAAGAATGATTTCCAAATATCCTGAAAGAAGTTACGAAATCAAACGCGTAAATCAAACATAAAAGACCCGAGTTCCCGTATGTTGATTTCAAACATGTTTTGTTGTCTGAATTATGTTTGTTTATTTACGACTTCTCATGAAACTTTCTTTATCACGTGGATGTTGGAAAGTCGTACGTTAAATGTTCACAAAAGGATACAGAAATTATCGAGTTTGTGAAAAATATTTTATACTTTTTATGTTTACATAGGTGATGAACTTCCTCATGGTCGTGCCTTGTGGGAATTCAAGTAGCTTCAAAGTATCAATGAACATCACTCCAACGACCGTTAATCGGTAAAGGATAGATATTCGCATTCACAATTTTGATTAACCAAAGAATAAGTGTGAGCGCTCAGAGAATGTTGTTACATGTATTGAGTATGTATTTGGCCCCGTGGACAATTCCAGGTTAGAATTGTTCCCAAGCAACATATGCTTGCGACGCAACGGTTCGAGTGGTCAGGCACGGTGACTTGATTGGCAGCGTGTCGCTTTCGGCCACGACGGTGTGAGTCGTTGCTCACGAAATCAATCCCTGGATGGTCTGATCCGGACTCGATTATTGACAGGCTGCAGTCATACTGCTTGAATATGACGGACTGCGGCGTTTAATAGCAAACACATACGCTTATTACTTTATTTGTATTTTGTTGTTTAACGCTGCAGTCAGCCACCTTCAAGCTTTATGATGTAACATAGGTCGCCTGAATTTCACCCAAATTACAGCTTCTCTGCTAACAGTAAAACACACACCTGCTGCACTCCAGGCCTAGGGACGATATAATCTGCTCCTACGTTAAAAGACAACCTCAACACCGTACATATGGCTGGTCATTCAAGCAACGCTATACATATAACCCCCATGTGCGTTTATGCTTATAAGTGCTACTCTATCACATGGAAGTCAAGAATGACAAGAGATAACCCATATTTATTACCCATATGGGAAGGAAGATGCTGGGTATTATTTTTTCTGCAACCTCCCTAGGGAGGTTACAACAGTCGCTTAATGTCGATTGGCTGTTTTAGAATTCCTGTAATTTCATTAGTTAATTACGAATTGCTGAAACTACATTTTTTCATGCATCATGTTCATTCATCTTTTTCCACAAAAACATCTCTGCCATACGAAACTTGTCATTTACAACATAAAGCATTCTAAGAACTATATTTTTATTCATTCAAATGAAATATCGTTAATGAAAATGAAAATCTAATTAAGATTTGTAGATTAAATTTGGTTGAATAAATCGTCAGCTGTAACATGCATGTAAACAACAATGGCGACATTGTTGTCCGCGATAAAAGTGAATGATCTTGTGAAGATTTGCGGAAAATTGTTTGGAAGAGTAGGGAACATAATACAGCCATTGAACAGTTTCAACGTTTTTGTGGTGAAAACTGACATGGATGAGCGACAAGTACCTCGTAAAAGATTACGCGTGACTTCTGAAACCGTGACTTCAATGTTTGCCATACCCAAACCTTTTGTTATAAATCAATCAGTTTTGGATGATTTGATGGATAATGATTACTTGGATGGCCCGAATAACATCCCTGGTGATCCTAAACAAGCAGAATGATTTGTTGATGTACATTGTGGCAACATTGACAAATTCCTGGCTATAAAAAAAACTTTGCTCAACATGCGAGTTGTCAAACAGTTTCTTTCAGAAAAGCTGAATGAGCAACGCCCAATTGAAGTTATCCCTCCCACTGAACTTAACACGATCATGTGAAAGTTGGTTGGTTGGTTTGTTGTTTAACGCCGCACTCAGCAATATTCAAGCTTTATGACGGCGGTCTGTAAATAATCGAGCCTGGACCAGACAATCCAGTGATTGATATCATGAGCATAGATCCACGCAATTGGGATCAATGACATGCATCAGCCAAGTCAGCGAGCCTGACTACCCAATCCCGTTAGTCGCCTTATTCACCTTTTACAACAAGCATGGGTTGCTGAAGACCCTTATTATAAGAATATGTGAACGTTATGTGTCATCATTCATTTTCGTTGTCAGCAACCAAAAATTCGACGAATTCTCACGCGTATGAATATTATGAAAAGTGACTTCGCCTCTGTTATAAGCATGAACTGTTTCTTGTCTTTTCAGCTTCATATCTTAAAACGTCACGATGGGTATTAAAAACAATTAACTTCTCTTGACGAGGAATGACGGATTTTCTGTCTCTTGTAAATTGTCTTGGTATTTCATCGGTTGGTAGATATAGTCTTCCGCCCAATGAACACGCCCTTTCGGCCTTGAGAAGCTATAACCATTACACAGACCCAAGAGAAGCGACAACTGGCTGCATATATGGTACATGCCTTGCTGCGTACCTAAAGTAACACAGAATCCCACTGGGATACACACTCTTCTTCCATGGCTCTGAAAAATGCTTCATTGACATTTGTATCTCGTGTCATTCAATACCTCTAAAGTAGCATGCCTTTCCATATTAAAATCTTGCCAATTATAACATTGTTATATATGAATGCCTATCTGTCACCTCTGTCAAAGTGACTGGGGCCGTATGACAATACTGATTTGAAAATGTTTCCAGTGGTATTTGTTTAAGGTTTATTATTGGGTAATGTGAACTGCACGTTCATACAAATCAGCAATCTTGTGACAGAAGTATGACTTTTTTAAAGTTGTCTCCCCTAATTGTTTGGAATTATCCCCCATTTATTTCCGATCCGACGTTAAATATTAACTCACTCACCATCTCCGTTTCAGTGATTCGATTATCGCAGTCACGAGCATTTTAATTAAACTCTAATGTCATGTCCACATTGTTTCAGGTTACAGAGTTAAGAAAGTTGTAGCAATACATAACATTTGTCGGCCGGTCGGGTAGCGTTTGCTCGTCTCACCGAATACCCGGATTCGATTCCCAACACGCATACAATGTGTGAAGCCTATTCCTAGTGTTACCCGCTGTGATATTTCTGGAATATTGCTAAAACCATACTCACATGACATTTGCTTTCTTAAAAAAAATCCGTCAAACATATTTTAACATAGAATTAATACTTTTTACTGCTTGAATCAAAACTAGGCCACCTTTACGGTGGACAATGGGAACACTTAGTGCAGCATGACTGCAGCCTCTACATCTTGACTTATATTATAAGAAATACAATGCTTATGTAGTGATCGATTTGAATTAAATAATGAACTCCCTTCAACGATCGGAAGTTTGTGTCAGACGACAGTTTTACGTTACATTAATTATCACAAATAATAAGTTTGAGACAAAACATTATGGCCACCAGCATCTGTTACCTGATCACATCATCCGTCCACCATTGAACATGGGCATTTTTTCCATATGTCAATTCTGGAGGCTACAGATCAACCCGTTATAAAGCATATAACTGTTCAAAATTTAACATATTTGATTGGCTACAAATACTAACAAACAGACTTTATACCAATCTCGTCAAGTATGTAATCACTTTGCTCCAATTCCATACACCTTTGTTAATCAAACTTCGAATGAAGATTCTACATCGCAAAGAAAAAATTGGTAGGACCACCATCGTGTTTTCCAAAATTGGTGCCTGTTTTGTATTCGAGCTGTAAACATTTTTCCAAGTATATACTAACAATATGTTCTCTTTTTTTAGACTGAATATGGATTTTTTCGGAGGAGAGAATCGTCTGTACCATATTTCCTTCCGACTGGATGAAAACAAGCTAGTATTCAACTCACACTTCTCCGGTGTGTGGGGAACAGAGATTAGGCAATTGGTACCGAGTCTCTGGTGGAGATACGACTGGATCAAGGCATGTACATGGTATGTTGTTGTTTCTTCAAAATCCTCTACGTGAGCTTTGACACGATCACAAACAGGTAGTAATTACTGGGTCTGGGTATAATCAACAGTTAAATTAAACAATATACGTTTTTGAAGCAGTGAAGGCAATCACCCACTGTATGCCATCCAAAATGTCCAGCAGACTTGTAGGTGTTTCCGACCGTGATAGTCTGCACTAAAAAACATCACACATTAAATTGTAACGGTCCCATTCAGGCTTGTTGTCTTTGGTATCCCATAGACATAGGAGTGTGTGAAGTAGGTTTAGGCCTTTTGGAAGTGTATTTAAGTCATATCAGTGCACGTCCAAAAAGTTTACCACTTTGGAGAAACCTAACAGCAGGGGGATAGGGTTGACAAAGCAAGAATAATAATGCGGACAAATTTGAATCGGCAAAGTCATTGGACGTAACTATACACACGATTCCAATTTTTTTTTTTCATTTTTCGTCCTAATTTAAGAAAGCCAAATAAAAATGCTACCATTCTCGAAAATATATTACTTGAGAATTTTAAGATAAATATTTCATTTTTGAGAATCAAATATTATATATAAATTAATGTTTTTGTCCGTAACTCTCAGTGGATATTTATTTAGTCACCTCAAACAAATGAATGAGACTTTGCATTGTAAAAATCAAGATGCAATTTTTTTTCATTCTGTTCAACTTTCATCCTCGATTACCTATTGTATGATATCTCCATTCTACTATGATGAATACACTTAAATCATTTCGCCATGGTAGCCTTTTTTCTTTAGTGATGTCACCATATCCATGTCTCCTATCAATAACTTTGCACATAATGTCTTTCGATAATGATAGAAATGTGCTTAGATAGTTATTGTTAGCGTCTCCAAAAGAGGCTGTGGTAGGGAATGTGTCCAGGGTAAAGAAATAAATAAAATACACTGGATAATCGAGGATGTTCCATTTGATTCCTTGCAGCTAGCTATAGATGGATCAAGCATACATAACTTCACAGACAGATACCCGAATGCGATTCCGGAAAACATCTTGTTCAGGGGCGACGCGAAGCTCACAGCAGTGTACATCACCATGTAACGTTGTTGTCATGATCAACTGACTCTCGCTCACAAACCCTGCAAAACGAAAAGATCCCACAGCTGAACTAAACAGTTTCTGGACATACAAAGCAATGTGAACATTGTATCATCATGCGCAGTCAGCGGAGTATCAGACGTTTCTTTCAAAACCATGGGTGACACATTTTTTGGTCACTCGGCTTCTGTACTCCTAATGTCTCTTTTAGATGACATTGCGGTTTCAAAAACGTATATTGTATAACGTATTCATTGTATAAAAAATATTTAGTGATCTTATATTTGTGACACAATGAAACCGTATTGTAAACCATGCACACTTGCTTGATTATCTTTTGGACGGTATTTGTTGATTTAAAAAGTGAATATCTGGTATTTGCTGTGTTTTCTTTCCTCCTTTTCGAGAGAATGGAAGCATCCACATGTTCTATGTATTGCCGATAATATGTTCTTGTTCATTAATCTTTATGAAAATCACAACAAACGATACCTCTGGAATGTCATAAGAGATAGCAACACTTTTTGCAGTAGTTCGTGCTGCCTGTGATACGTCCCTTATCCCATCATCGGGCTGTGGATAGTCTCTTCCATTTTAAATGCTTATGCAATTGTTTCGAGAGATGAGACACTATTTAGCATTTCAAATCTGTCGCGATCGTTCAGCTCCAAACTGTCGTACGGAATACCCCTTGAGACCAGTGAGACAGCATCGTCCATTTCATATTGAGATCCACATTGTTTGTTCAAGGTTTTCAAAATTCAAGGCCCCAGTAAAGCTTTCAAAAAGGTTTTTATAGTAGACATGTGGAGGACATTTGACCCATGTCCAATGCATTTTCCCATTTTGACTCTGATGCTCTTTTCAGATGAACACTTAGTTTGGCTTTGCATGTGTTTGTGATGGTGCCACTGTTCGTAGTTGCATGATTACATTGTTTGACTCGACCTGTAACCTGTAATGGGATGTCGTCAGATTTTTGTGTTGCAGTAGCGATCACTTAGGCCTGATTTTAATAAGATTGTCCACATTCGCCGCCATGAGGAATCAGTCAACAGAGATAGTGGCTATTTCATCCCATCCGCCTACTATGAACATCCTTATCTGCACCGTGTTAGTTTTAATTGTACATTTATAAGAAGTTGATTCCACAATTAAAAGGAGTAGTACACTTCAAGTATAAGTTTAGATATGCATCTTGGACTGAGGGGTGGTAATGAGCACAGGTCCTTAAGGATTCTCTCACTTGCTTTCCATTCCTTACACACTGGTATTGTATTTGCGAAAAAAGAACGTTTTTACTGGTCTACAATAACTTTCGCCATCAAATCCCTAAGGTCAACCATACACTTTGTGGTCTGGACACATTACACCAACCTCGCTCTTAAGTAAAAGTTGTTATCCATACAATGTGTCTTCTTTGTCATCCGCCAACTTCTATGTAATGCCTATCAAACAATACCATTAAACACTGAGGTATACATGCAATCAGCGTCTGATCAAGAGTTTGTGTACACTGACCATTATTCGCCCACGTTCATGAAGCCACTAGCCAGTGTGTGATGGAGTTTGTTGTTGCAAGGATACCCCCTTCATAGTGAAGGTATTGACCAGTTGCGTTTGCAAAACCATGGAACGCATGGTCAACAATAGATTAACATGGTACTTGGAATCAAATAATTTAATTACAAATATTCAGTGTGGCTTTCGAAAGAATCGAAGTACCGTTGACCATTTAGTACGGTTAGAATCATTTGTGAAAAATGCAATCATTAATAACCAGCATACAGTGTCTATCTTTTTCGATCTAGAAAAAGCGTATGACACAACGTGGAAACACGGGATTTTAAAGGATTTACATGATTTTGGATTGAGAGGCCGTTTGCCTGAATTTATATCCAAGTTTTTAACTGGCAGACAATTTCAGATCCGCGTGGGCTCTACCCTGTCTGATCATTATCATCAGGATCAGGGTGTCCCACAAGGCAGTATTTTGTCTGTCACTTTATTTAGTATAAAAATAAATAGTCTTTCAAAGGTTTTACGTGATTCAGTAGACGGATCACTTTTCGTGGATGATTTAAATGTTTCTTGTCGAGGAAAAAATATGCATACAATAGAGAGGCAGTTACAAATCTGTCTCAATAAAATTCATAAATGGTCCCTCGAAAACGGGTTTACATTTTCGAAATCAAAAACTAATTGTATACATTTCTGCAGAAAATATAAGCCGCATAATGACCCTGAGCTCTATTTAGATGGCACCCATATCAAAATTGTTAAAGAGGCCAAGTTCTTGGGCCTTATTTTTTATAGTCATTTAACTTTCCTTCCGCATATTAAATACCTTAAAGCTAAATGCCTGAAGGCACTCGATTTGTTGAAAGAAGTTTCAAATTCTAAGTGGGGAGGGGATCAAACAACCCACTTACACTTATACAGGTCATTGATCCGTTCAAAACTCGATTATGGCTCCATCGTCTACGGTGGAGCCTGCAAAAGTAACTTAAAAAAACTCGATACTATCCATCATCAGGGCCTAAGGCTTTGCCTTGGAGCCTTTAGGACGTCACCAATTCACAGTCTGTATGTAGAAGCGGATGAACCTTCTCTTAAACAACGCCGTCTGAAATTAGCATTACAATATGTCACTAAATTATATTCAAATCAGTCAAATCCAGCTTTTAATTGCATCTTTAATCCTCTTTACCAAGATATTTATAATAAAAAAACGTCTCTTGTTCCACCACTTGGAATCAGAATCCAGTCTGCCATGTCTGCCGCTAATATTAAACTGCAAGATATAGCTCCCTTTCAACTGTTTTCATCACCTCCTTGGCAAATGGTAAGGCCAGTAGTTGATCTCACATTAACCAAATTAAAAAAATCTGAAACAAATCAACTAATTTATCAACAACAATATAATGAATTAAGGAGCACTTATGATACTTACAAATCCATATTTACAGATGGATCCAAGGATGGTGACGCTGTTGCCAGCGCCACTGTCATTGGCTCCAGAACCATATCAACTAGATTACCGAATGACAGTTCCATTTTTACAGCAGAATCGGATGCAATATTAACTGCTCTCAAATATATCAATACTAAATCTAAACATAAACGGTTCATTATCTTTTCTGATTCACTTTCCTGTCTTCAGGCAATTAAGAATATATCTTGTAAACATCCACTTTTACGTGAAATTATAGAACTACATAATGATCTTGCTACTGGCCAATACGACATCGTCTTTTGTTGGTTACCAAGCCATGTTGGTATCACTGGTAACACAATGGCTGATGCTGCTGCTAAAGCAGCACTCACCAAATCTGTGACACCACTTCTCATCCCATATAGTGATTATAAACCTATCATTAGATCTTACATCCGTGATCGGATGCAAAAAAAGTGGGACACCCAAGTCGGTATCAATAAATTACATGAAATTAAACGAAATATCGGTTACACCTACTTGGGTTGTCAGTCCAGATTTGAGGAGGTCATAATACGACGATGTCGTATTGGCCATAGCAGGTATACAAATGAATTTTTATTAAAAGGTGAGGATCCTCCATTTTGTATCCCTTGTGATGAGAGAATCACCGTCAAGCATGTCCTGCTTGATTGTGTTGATTTTTCCATCACAATGGATAAATATTTCAAAGTTTCATCCTTAAAGGATCTTTTGAGTATCAATGCTCGTTTAATTATTGCCTTTTTAAAAGACATTGAATTGTTACATAAATTTTGATTGATATGTTTTGTATATAATATAGTTTTTATACTTGGTAAAATAAATTTGATGACTGAGATTGTTAGTGGCTGTATCCTTGAAGGGGGTTGAAGTAACGTAAAATTATTGTCCCCCTGAGAGGATATGTAAGACCACATCATTCAAAGTACATTCATTCTTGCCACAGTTTTAGACGTAGAATATTTGTTTATTTTAAGTGTTGGCTAAATTGCATATAATCACCAGCGGCTGAAGGGATGGTGTAAATCCTGCTGGGGAGTCGTGCAGGTAGCAAAAGTATTGTAAGTCCCCACGGTCCCCAGTAAGGTGGCCTAACTTTGGTTGCTGGTGATCTATAGCCCATTTTTATATTGTATTGTTGATTGAAAATGTATTCTTTTTAATGTTCTCAACTAGTTTTAAAATCAAAACTGTGATACTCTAGTTATTTTTACTGTCCTTCGATGACAGATATTTAATCCATTCAAATCTTTGTATTTTATATCAGTTCTCTCACGATATGGCTGAAATACTGCCGATGTGACGTTAAATATTAACTCACTCACTCACTCATATTGAAGGTGTAGACAATGTAATAGCGAACACTCCCTCCGAGCACCCCTCATAAACTCTTTTGGTGATTGGAAGTACCTCCGTCAAACTCGAAATGAACGATTACAACCCGGGTCGTCTAATTTTAAAGGCTTCACTATGCCTGGGTTGTCTAACCATGCATAAGTGGTTTCTCTATGTCCCAGTGCAGTCCGTGCAGTCGCTGACCCGTATGATCTGATTGGGAGAGACTTTCAATTGGCATAGTGACGTATCTAATTCGGACATTGTATGACAACATTATGCTGGGGCTCTTTCTAAGTGCTAAGATAGGTAAGTAAACGACGCAAGAAAATGTTTCTTTTTCTTTTAATTTAATTTCGTGCATCCCTGTTCACAGTAAAATGGATTGATCCACATGCCTACTTTGTCGAACTAGCAAAGCCACTCATCCCTGACTATACCTGAGCTGTCTAATAGCTACTGTTTACCCATTTCAAAAAAAAGACGAAAAGGGTTGAAACCAAACGTATTATACCTATTGTATTATGTATAATGTGTATTGTGTATATAACAACCCTATTGATCTGTTATGTATTGTAATTTGGGGCTAAACATAAGCGAATTTCTTGTATAATAAGAATGGATATATTTTTAGTGATAGGTAATAAACATTTAACAAATTAAGATATGATGATACTCATTAGAAAAGAGTGCATCTACAAAACGGACATGTCCTCTAATTAATTTTTTTTTTACCAGCGACCTTTTCCACTTTTTTGTAGTATTTTGGGGGTAAATTTCTATCTAGGTAGTATTCTGTTTCAATTTCACATTTGATAACTTCATAGAATCTAGATTTTGAGGATGCCTCAATAGAAGAGTGCCATTGCTGTTTGACCTAATATTCAGGACGTCTTCATGGAGATTTATTGACCCAACAACCATTGTATCCTGTTTTTAAAG